ACTGGAATTTAAATTTAAACTTGAGGGGGGTGGGAGGGAGGGTATTGAGGAGGGCACCTGTTGGGATGAGAACTGGGTGTTGTATGGAAAACAATTTGACAATAAATTTCATATTAAAAAATAAAATTAAATAAGTAAATTAAAACTTGAAGCTAAAGAAGCCTAAAAACAAGTAATTGGTGTTAATTGGAGTCAATTTAGCAGTATCTACGACAATTTTTAGATACCCATCCCCTTGGCTTAATAATTTCACTTCTCAGTACCTACAAAAATATTTATACATGCACAAAAATACATGTAAAGGTAGTCATTCACTGCATTTTTTAAATATTGAAGAAAAGGAAATGCCCTAAACATTCACCAATATGGGGATCAAAAAAATATAGTGTATCTGTCTATGGAATTAAATGCAACAACTTTTCCAAGGAGATTTTCTAAGACATTGTGCTATGATGTAAAAATTATATATGTGATATTATGTAAAAATTATGTGATGTATATGAATGCAAAAGCATAAAAATGGCCTAGTGAGATACACACTTTTACTGCATTTAGTGTCCCACAAAAATTCATGTTTTCCTGGAACCCTAGAATGTGAACTTATTTAGAAATGGAGTCTTCACAGATATAATTAGCCAAGTAAAAATGACATCACAGTACATTAGCGTGGGCCCTAAATCCAATGACTGGTGTACCTAAACAAAAGCCATGTAAAGACATACAGGGAAGAAAGCCATGTGAAGATGGAGGACGAGACTGTGTGATATTAGCTACAGGTCAATGAACAACAAGGACTGCTGGTAACCACTAGAAACTAGAAGAGAATCATCGGAACAGATTCTCCTTCAGAGGCTCCAAAAGGAACCAACCTTGTCAATACCTTGACTTTGAACTTCTGGCCTCCTAAACTGTGAGAGAGAAAATTTTCTGTTATTTTAAGTCATCCATTTTGTGATAGTTTGTTATGGCAGTGCTAGGAAGCTAGTTATACACCTATGTAACAATGGCTAGCTACAAGGAAGGGACTCTATGTATTTCTATATTGTTGGAATATTTACAGTGAGAATTTATTACTCACTAATTTATTACTCACTAATTACTCACTAATTAGCATGGCTAATTTTTTACCAAAAAAATAAAATAATAAAGAAATTATCCATATTTTATGCTGTAAGTTTTGGCTCTGCCACTTATCAAGTATAAAATCTTGAGCAAGTCATTAAACATAGGAATGTCTCAATTGCTTCATCTGTAAAAATAGGGATAGTAACATCTACCCTGCTCACCTTGCAGGTTGGTATTAAAGTCTCCTTGGACCCTTTCTTTCACTGTCCATATCCATTCTTCCTCCAAAGTGGCTCTAGTGACTATGAATACCTTTCCTTTCATACTACCATCTCTGTCTCTAATTCATGCTGCCAGCCCCCAGGAGATTTATTGTATCAAAACGCCACTAAGTTCCTTTCCTTTCTGAACCCCTTCAACAATTCCTCATTACCTGTTAAATTAGATCCAGTAGTTCTTAGTAGTTCAAGACCTTCTACATTTTGAGCCCCACTGACCATCCATCCTTATCAATCATCACTGCTTCCTTGGTAGAGGAAAACCAGGTTTGTGGTTTTGAACCTTGAGCCTCACCTTTTTCAGCCATGCCATTGTGTATATTTATCCCTGTAAATGGACTGTCCTCCATCCTAACCTCCTTTCCAGCCTTGTGGCTTATCACATGGTCCTAAAATAGAAATATTGCACTTTACTTTGAACTCCTGTAGCACAAACCCTCAGTATCTTATGCATTTTAATTACCCCCTCCCCCCCCCCCCCCCCCCCCCCCCCCCATTAAACTGAAAACTCCTTTGGAGAAAAAGAACTTTATTCATTATGGTGCCTAGCACACTACCTTTCGGAGAGTAGGTGATCAATACATATTTGTCAAATAAATGAATAACAATTATAAAACACTTCACTTTTATTAAAGTAGTATGGGTTCTAAAATTGTTTTAAATTATAAACAAAAATAATATTCTGCCAGTACATACCAGTATAGTCAAACTAGCTGTAAAATACTGAAATACTTCCCTACCACTGCCCCTTGCCACCTGAATGCCTCCCATTACAATTGTTGGCCTGGTTTCCCCTCCCCTGGGAACACTTCGACCCCTCTACTCTCCTAACTAAAGGATTCATGCCTTCCACAGCAGGAAGCACTCAGGTCCTGGCTCTAGCCAGTGGAAGTATCTATTCTGACTGATCAAGACCCATGCAGAGTTACTGGTAAATATTTTGATAATCAACCCCGATTATAAATAAAATTTAACTATACAATTTGAAAATGATCCTTCTTCTCACTGCAAAATCTCTTGAGAGAGTCAGCAGATCCAGGGATAGAAAAGGAAAATGAAACTTTGTCAGTCTCTGACAGTTTAGGGTACATCCATTAGGATTCAATCTTCATGTAAACCAGAAGATATGCAGTTTCCCGCCTAGAAAGAAAAAAAAAAGCAACATAACAGAAATGGAACATTCATAGTTAAGTGATATGTTTTTAACTCATGATAGGACAAGCATCAGAAAAGTTTTTGGTTATTGGATCAAGTCTTCATTTATCCATTATCTCAGAGGGGAAGAAAATGGGTAACCTGAGAAAATAGCCATTAAGCTTCTATTAGTTAACATCTGTATCATGGGTTGACAAACTACCTGTCCACAAGCCAAATATAGCCCTGTTTTTTAAAATAAATTTAACTGGAACACAGCCACACTCATTCATTCATGTGTCATCTGTGGCTGCTTTTGTGCTACAAGGGCAGAGTTGAGTGGTTGCAACAGAGACTGTGTGGCCCACAAAGCCTAAAATATTTACTCTTTGGCCCTTTACAGAGAAAGTTTGTCAAACCCTGATATAAATAATGGGACAATCACTGACGACCAGAAAGTGACAAAGAGTGCGTATCTAAGAGGGATGTTCAGAAGAAAAGATAAAAAGTAGAATATTGTAAGAGAATTTAAAACACAAATTTCACCTAATTCATTATTTTTCAAGTGATCAGTCCTACTTAGCTGAAATAATTTCAAATATCACCTTTGGTGTACAATGTCACTGCAACCCAGAAACTCATCTGAAAAAACTTACAAAGTCTCTGCTTTAACTTCATCCAGCTTTTTTTTTTCTCTCTAGCTTCCTCTCTGTAGTTGTTGATTTTTTTAAAAATATATTTATCACTATTTACTAAATGCAAGCCACTGTACTGGACAAAGAAAAAAGAATGATCCTTGCTCGCAAAAAGTTCATGGTCTAATGTAAAAAAAAGTTATATATGCAAACAATTACAAAACAGGGAGGTCCTTTCTATAAATGAGGTATGCTTAAAGTGCAGAGCAAGCATATGAGAAGTCCCTACAAATCTGCTGGGGTCAATCAGTGAAGGCTTTATAGAGTAGGAAAAGCCATGAGCAGAGACATTAAAGCATGGTGGGAGTTTGCCTTAATAATAAATTAGGAGAGGGAAAGACAGATCAGGAACTGCATGTGTAAAACCATGGAGGATATGATGTTTGGGGAGCTACTTATAGTTTAGTATTGTTGGAATCTAAATTGTGAAAAAAGCATGGTATGGTAATATGGGTATTCAGAGATGAGGCTTAACAGTCACTGGGGAGTTACCCAAATATAAGCGGCAGCTGAATTCATGAGAGTTTCATACAGCACTAAGAAACCTGTGTAAACTCACTGGGTTTCCATCACTCAAACACTTCTCTTACCAGCGGTAGTTATGATTTCCATAAGTACACTGGATGTCTTCCCAGGATACCTGGAAGTACATAAACAGATGAAGTGAAGTATCCAGCTCACATATGTTAAGCATCCAGAGTATAGGGTGCTACAATTTACCCTCTGTCACGTATCCAGACAAACCCCTCCCTGGTACCTCCCAAGACCTGAATCATCCAGTGATAGGATGCCATGTATATGAAGCCTCTTTTAGTACACTGGTCCTTCTATTTTTGGTTATGCTTCGTTCTAACTTACATATATCTAACTCTTCTGGCTCTCTATAAGTTTCCCACAAGCATGAAGCTGCAGGGCACTGAGCCTAGAACACCAAAAACCTAGACAATGAGCTAAGTGGATTCTTATAGGGCTATACACCAGATGGGGACTTGATGCAGGAAAGGACTTTAAGCAGGATCAGACCTATAAATACAGAGGACGAACTTATGGTTGGTAGAGGGAGTGGGTGGGGGATGGGAAAAATGGGTGAAGAGGAATGGGAGATACAAGCTTCCACTTATGTAATGAATAAGTCACAGGAATAAAAGGCACAGCATAAGGACTATAGTCAGTGATACTCTGATAGTGTTTTATGGTGACAGATGGTAGGTAGCTATACTTGTGGTTAGCACAGTACAATGTATAAACTCATTGAATCACTATACTATACACCTGAAACTAACATTGTGTTAACTATACCTGAATTTAAAAAATGTTTTTTTTTAAGAAAAGGACTTGTTTAAGGGCTGCACACACAGAGAAAACAGGCCCACAATGTGTCCCGACCTTAAGGACCCATCTAGTCCTGGGTTCATAATTTATTAGAAGTGGCTAATCCAGGACAACATTTTGGACAATGTTCCTCACCCAACAAACATTGGAGTCGTTGAAGCAGAACCATTTTCCATCCACAGAATTCTGGATATAGGCACAGTAATGACCAAAGTCAGCTGCCCCAACATGGGCAACCACAGCAAAGAGCTCATACTGTCTTCCAAGCTGGAGGGACATAAGGCACAAAATTATTCACCTATCATCCCTTTTTTCTAACCATAGAATAAAGAAACATTATTTCATAACATATTTTACTGCCTACTCTGTGCCAGGCACTGGTACTTCAAGGGGACTAGAAAATAGTCTTTGAACTCAAGAATCTCATGATTAATTAAGCCAGAATTAAAATGCCATATTTTATACTAGGTATATTTACAGGTAAATTTGGGAAGACTCAACTTTTGCCCCAAAAGAGAAAAAGGAACAATCATCTAAGAAAAGCTCCCCAAAGAAGACATTCTTGAATTGATCTTGAACAATGAATAAGATTAGAAGACAAGTTATAGGAAGGAGGTATACTCAATGGACCCAGAAATTGCAAAGGCTTTGCAGTGTAACAGAACAGAGCATGCTGAGGAAATGGAAGTCAGAGAGGTTTCTGGGAAGTCACAAGAGATGAGGCTACAAAAATCAAGTCAGGAACTAGAACTTTATCTAATTTTTTTCAAGTTTTTATTTAAATTCCAGCTAGTTAACATACAGGGTAATATTAGTTTCAGGTGTAAAATTTAGTGATTTTTTTAAATAATAAGAATTAGAATTATTGGGACCCATCATAAGTTTAAGCAGAGAAAAAGCATCATCAGATTTGTGTTTGAGAAAAATACTGAAATAATGTGGTTTGAAAAATGGAATGAGAGTTCAAGTGAGGTAGAGGCCAATGAGATCAGTTTGGGTACCACTACAATGCAAGAAAAATGGCTATAGTCTAGACAGTGACTATCAGTAGTAGTCACCAAAATGATAATAATCATTCTTAACATAATAATTAATTATTAGCTAACCTTTGGCATTTGCTATGCATTTAGCTATGTCTTTACATGAGTTATTTCATCTAATATTCATAAAAATCATGTTAAGCTGGGTGGTGATATAAATCCTATTTCACAAAGGTGGAATCTAAGCTCAGGGAGGTAAAGTAATTTACCCAAAGGTCAGAGCTTATAACTAGAAAAGGCAGAATTCCAACCCAGACCTGTCTGGCCTCAAAGCCTAAACTCTTAATCCCTATGCTACACTAAGAAAGTGAGACTAAAGGTGAGACTGAGGGGGCATATTTGCACAAAATTAGGCATAAATAACCAAGGACTGGATATTGGGGTATTGGGGAAGGGGCAAGTAGGAGGCATCTCTGGCTTGGAAATTAAGAAAATATTGGTACTATGAAGTTAAGTATGGAACAGAGCTGTTTGGGAATAAAGATAATGAATTTGGGGACTATATGACAACATTCAGTAGAGGTGAATACACTGGTTTGGAGCTCAAGTGTAAGACCTGGACAGGAGATACAAATTTGGAAGTCTTAAGTTTGAGATGATTACCAAAATCATGAGAATGAATGAGATGAAATTTGAAAAATGGATAGGACAAATAATGGAAAACTATATGCTAATAAAATCATGGGCAGGAAAGGATCCACCAATAGAGAAAGAAGCCATATGAGGAAAGCTTATGGTAGATTCTGAATGAGAGTAGGATCAATAACAGAATATTACAAAAAGATCAAGTAAGGGAAGGACCAAAAATCATCCATTAGATTTGGCAGTAAGTCATTCTACTCTCTCAAATCTTAGAAACTGAAGATAAGAGAGAATTTTCTGTGAAAAGAGAATAGTGGTAGGGGTACCTGGGTAGTTCAGTCAGTTAAGCAGCCGACTTCAGATCAGGTCATGAGCTCATGGCTCATGAGTTTGGGCCTGAAAGCTCAGAGCCTGGAGCCTGCTTTGGATTCTGTGTCTCCTTCTCTCTCTGCCCCTCCCCCACTCAAGTGCGCTCTCTCTCTTTCTCAAAAAAACAAAAAAAATTAAAAAAAATTTTTTTAAAGAAATGGGCATAGTGGTGGGAGAGATGGAGTTTGGATTGATTGTGAGAAGGATCTCAACATTAGTCATAAATACCTTATTCTTTTATCTTAACACAGTCAAATAATATCCCTAATCTGAGACTTTGAAAAACTATCAATATGGGAGACAGGGGTGAGGGTAGTGCAAATGAAGCTAAGTCACCCAAAAGGGAGAACTCAAATTATTATGTATTTTCATTTGGGAATTTACACTAGACTTTAAAAATGCAGAGCGGGGCGCCTGGGTGGCGCAGCCGGTTAAGCGTCCGACCTCAGCCAGGTCACGATCTCGCGGTCCGTGAGTTCGAGCCCCGCGTCGGGCTCTGGGCTGATGGCTCAGAGCCTGGAGCCTGTTTCTGATTCTGTGTCTCCCTCTCTCTCTGCCCCTCCCCCGTTCATGCTCTGTCTCTCTCTGTCCCAAAAATAAATAAACGTTGAAAAAAAAATTGTAAAAAAAAAAAAAATGCAGAGCAATACCTAGCTCTAATTGTTTATAAGAAATACAAAGGATAAAGGAACATGTTAAATAACACCAACCAGCAAATTCTGGATATTTTTTTTTGAAAACCTTCAACAAAATGAAACTCAAGGACAAGAAAAAGAGGGGAAGAAATTTAAAAGAAACTTAACCCAGGGGCACCTGGGTGGTTCAGTTGGTTAAGTGTCTGACTTAGGCTCAGGTCATGATCTTGCAGTTAATGAGTTCGAGCCCCATGTCAGGCTCTGTGCTGACAGCTAGGAACTCTGAGCCTTTTTTGGATTCTGTGTCTCCCTCTCTCTGCCCCTCCTCTGTTAGCACTCTCTTTCTCAAAAATAAACATTAAAAAAAATTATAAAAAAAAAAAAGAAACTTAACCTAAAAGAAAGAAAGGCAGGGAGAAGTAGAGGGAAGGAGGGAAAGAGAAGAGGAAGGAAGGATGGAAACTTAGGCAAATGCAAGTGTAGACTTTGTTGGGATCTAGGTTCAAACAAACCAATGTATAGGTCACAGAAACCTAAATATTGACTGGGCATTAGTGACAATAGGAAATTATGAGATATGCTATTGGCGGGAGTGAAAACTGCTGCAGCCACTATGGAAAACAGTATGGAGTTTCCCCCAAAAAAGTAAAAAATGGAACTACCCTATGATCTACTAATCATACTACTCAGTATTTACCCAAAAAATGCAAAAACACTAATTAAAAGGAATACATGAACCCTATGTTTATTGTAGCATTATTTACAATAGCCAAGATATGGAAGCAGCCCAAGTGTCCATCAATAGATGAATGGATACACTTGAGTTAAGGTGGCGGAGCAGTAGGGGGTCCCTATACTTGCCTCAGCCCTCAAAAACAGCTAGATAAATACCAAATCATTCCAACACACCCAATAAGTCAATCTGAATGCTGAGAGAATGACCTGCAGAACCAGAGGGAAAAAAGAAGCCACATCATGAAAGGTAGGAGCTGCAGAGATGTGATTCCAGGGATAAAACAACTGCGGGTGGTATGGAGGGGAGAGAGCCTTGATCTTGTAGCGATCAGAGAGAGAAACATAGAGAAAGCAGTGCACAAGGGTTTGCACAAGGGAAACATCTTCACTAAAACCACTGACTAGGAAACTAGAGTGGCTGATTATTGCAGGTTTTTACAAAGAGTGGAGCTCAAAGTCTGAAGTTTTAGAAGTCTGCACCACTGCTAAGCTCCACCTGGTGGGCACAGTAGTGCTCCTATAGGGAAGAAGCCAGAGGCCCAGGAGCAGAAAGCATGGTTTGAGAATCTCCTGGGTCACTGGGAGAAGCAGTTCCCCTTCTTGGAGTGCATTTGGGAGAGGTGGCATGGAATCTCTGGGGACAAAAAGTTGGTGGGCCCAAATGTGCTGCTCCATTCATTAACATAGTGACAGAGACACCTGGCTGAGGGTAGCAAACCTTGGTGCCGGCTTTTTGCTGCACTTTACCATAAATTCCAAGACTTTGCATGATTCTGCTTTTCTGAGACAAACCAGCACAAGCTGCAGTGTGGTGAGACCCTCCTCCATAGGATCAGTGCCATGTCTGTACCACACCGGGTCCCTAAAATTTGGAGTTTTGAAACACAGCCACATGCCTGAAATAAAACAGAACTATGCTGCCTGGCAGGTAGACAGCTCAGACACAGGGTGAAGGCAGGAATTTCACAGAAACCAGGGACACAAGAGGGGAGACTGTTCGCTCTTCTGTGAGGGATTCCTGGACAGTGGCAAGCATGAACTTCCTGCTCCAGGGAGGAGAGAGCAGGGTGACACCATTTTCGCCCTGCCTATCAGCACTGACAGACTTCAGTGAGCAACACAGTGCCCCCAGTGGAAGCTGGAGCTGCTTACACCTAGCCCAGCATTCTTTTCTAGCTCCTTGGCTAGCTCCTTACACCTTCTGCCCTTTTTCCTTCTCTTCTTCTGGGATTCCTATGGTATTACATTTTATGGAGTCACTGAGTTTCCTAAGTCTACATTTGTGATCCAATACTTTTCTTTTATTCTTTAGAATGACATAATGAAATACTTTAAATGAAATGGCATGGTGTCTGAGGCGTGCTTCAAAATAATCCAGTAGAGGGTTGGAGAAAGAAGAGGATGAGGATGTTGGTAAAGCAAGATTGGGCATGAATCTTGATAAATTTTAAGCTGCTTGAAAGACATGGGGATTCATTGTATAATTCCCCATTACTTTGCTACATATTCAAGATTTTCTATAACAATGTTTTTTTAAATGGAATAAAATTTTAATATATTATTTCATTAAGATATACTTCATAGTACACAAACAGAAATAAGGAAAATTCAAAGGACAGAAAATAATAATCTTACAAAATGTATATACACTAAATAGGCAAAGAAACCATGTTATATAGGAGCTACTATATTATCAGGCCTCAATTTTTAAAATACCAGGGTTCTAGAACATGAATAGCAAACAAAGAATGAACAAAACAGTCCATAAAAGGATATATAAAGGATATATCCTTTATGGACTATATATATATATATATATATATATATATATACACACACACACACATATATATGTGTGTATATATGTATATATACACACATATACATATATAATTATATATATATATATATATATATATATATATATATATATATATATATATATATATATATATATATATCATTTACTAAATGTAGCATTTCAAAACTAAGAAAAGATATTTATGTCATATCTTTTCCTCAGAATTTCCCAATAAGTTACCAGCTCAGGACAACTGAATTCAACTTTACTTTGATTAAATTTGACCTAAATGAACTGGCTCTCTTGTTACTATCCTCAAAGTAGGCATAAACTGTTTCAGGAAGAAAGTTAGGTTGATATTATATTTAGAACCCAAGATGTTGTGTTTACCTATGTATATGTATTACATACCATATTTAAGTGGAAAGAGAGTTATGGGTTCTTTTCCTCTCTCAGTGCTGTGAAGTACATAAACCAAAGCTCAATATTTAGAAATAAAGTCTCTGGATTCTTAAAAGAAAAGCAACCATAAACAGCAAATGTTGTTGATAGTAGTATGGTAGTAACAACTTATCATTGTTATTCAGGAACACACATCATTAAAATACTGTTTTAAAAAGAATATTTCTTGAATGTATGAATATGTTTCTATGAATCACACCAAGTAGCTGCCGATGAGTTTCCCTCCCTTTGTGTACCCCAAGCACGGCCAGCAGAGGCCATGATTTCTGAGATGATACAATGACACAGATGAGATGCCCAAAAGTGCCATCTCTGTTGAGTGGGTGACTTCAAGCACCTTAGGGGAGGAGAAGCAAAATCAAGCAGACAAGGGGTCTGAAGAGAAGGAGAATGGAAGGGAACTGAGGAGCTTCTCACCTGTTCCTCAGCACTGCAGAGGTCTTCCTCAATCAGAAGGACCTGACTTAAATCCAAACTCTGGGGGAAATAAAGTGAGTGGAAGATTTTTTCTGTCTGCGAATTCCTGATGGAGAACCGCAAGAGGTGGATTGTCAAGGTCTGGGGCAAATGGGTCAGCTTCAAGACCTGAAAAACCAAAATTACTGTGGAAATGAAGTCCTAAGGCCCTTGAAATGGGTAGATTCAGAGAAATACCAGAGCTGATCATATATTCTTCCCAAAAAGAGAGGTAAGAATGATATAATACAGAATTAAGGGCCCCCATTTGCTGAATCTGTTGAGCTCTCCCACAGGTACCAGAGCTCAGGGAAACTACAGAGGCTGCTCTAGAGAGCTAGTCTAACCCTATGGGGGGAACTCTGCATGCTTCCCTTGGATATTCTCCTCTTATCTTTTAAAAGGCTCTGTTCCTCTCGGTGATGGGCCTCTGATAATCAGAAGCCCCAGATCCCAGGCTGCTAGCCTGATATTGATTCCCTCCCTCAACCATCACAAGGTACCCTCAAGGCCTCCATTAGGAAATCTACCAAGGACAACCCCAGAGTAGGGAAGCTTCTGGTTTTAGGGAGCAAGTACCTGCTTCCCACAAGTCTTCTTCCCACAGTTCTCACAGAAGCATTCGCTTTTGCCTGATAACTCCCTGGGTTGGAAGAAACAGCGAAGGGCATCCTCCTGTCCCAGGAGAACAAAGAAAAAGCAGAGTTGGTATTTACCATATACAGTATAACACATCACCCTACAGATGAGGATTTAAGCTTTCCTCTGATTCTCTCCTTGTTCCCCTTACCATCTGGCCCAGTGTGATGCATGTGGCAGGATTTCCAAAAGTACCTACTGACGTGAAGGAAAAACAGAAGGGAGCATTTGTTAAGGTAGCAGCATGAGGAAAGGAAGTAAAAGGAAAGAAAGGTTTTCACCAAATCAAAGGGGAACTTAGAATTGTGCAAAGGAAACAGAAATTATTTTTTAAAAGCGAAAGGTGGATTAAAGAAGCAAGAGCACACTGGCAGCACTGGGTTTATGGGAACAGCAAATTCACCAAGAGGAATTCCTCACCAGGGTTTTCAGGGGCTTTGAGTCCATATCAAAAAGAGGAAGGGGGAGGGTCAGCATGCTACTATTTCTGCTCCTTTCCGTTGTACATTCAAGGCAAACCAAGGACTCCTTCATCCGGATTGTATAAAGGGCCTGCAGCCTCTCTACCTGCAAGAGAGAGGAAGTGAGAGGAAAGAAGGGTACAAAGCCATAAACAAAACAGGTGAGGTGAATTTCCAGAAATGATATCCACCAGACAGAAGCTCCAGAAATGGCAGCCACTGATTCTCTTTGCTCTTCAAAAAGGTACAAAATAATAACAGTAATAATATTACGGAATTGTGATAAGTATTTATGTGGATTTTCTCTTTTAATCCTCTCTATACATTATATTGATGATAGCTGAATGAGCTAAATGAGCAGCATCTTAAACTTCTGAGTTCTTTAGTTCTAACATCTTACCAAGTCCACATCTGTGATTTGGTCCTTAATTAGGTTCCAGACTGTGAGGTAGAGTTGAGCAGCATCATGCTGGACAAACACTGGCCAAAGAGAAAAGTAACAGCTTGATCAGTGAGGTCACCAAGGACATTTCCCATGCCCTTGTGCCCTAGCTACCTAGATACGCATGAACACTCATCACTTTGTCCTCTTCTAGCCTTCACTCCCTCCACCTCAGCTTTTCAGGCTAAATTTACACTCGATGGTAGGCATTAATTAAAAATGAAAAATAAACTTGTTATTTATTTTTGAGAACTCCTCTTAAAACTTAAAATCCAGTCTGACTGCATCACAGAAGTTTCCCTTCCCCTGACTGGCCACTCATAACTACTGGCCTCTACTGTGGGACCCAGCTAGATAAAACCAATATGCAATAGTGCATTCTCTCCTCTCCTATTTTTAAGCCAAGCCAATACCTTAATTGGACTCTAATGGCCACTAATTTCTCTGTACCTTTATTTAATTTCTTTTCTCATTCCCCAGAAATTTAGCAGTTTCCTAATGCTCATATCTGACCCAGGTCTTCCCCAAAGGTATCTAGGAGAACAAAAAAGGAAAGGACCATCTCAGTGTTAGATGATGCTAGCTAAGAGGAGATGGGAATTAAGCACTGAATTCTTCATATGTTATATAAGTAAATGTAAGGCTAAAATATTCTGTACATATATAAATGAATTTCTGTTGTTCAAAAGAAACCTAGGAAGACAACGAATATGAAAAACACACTGAGTATTATTTTACAAAAGGATAGATGTCTGCCAACATGCAAAGAAGACATTGCAAGAAAACATAACATGCAAGTTATTGTAAATGTAGTAAATATTCATGTCAGCTATCTCAACACCAATACTTACTACAATTTGTACTTAATGTTTTTGGATTTCATTTTGTTTTGGTCTGTCTCTTCTCTAAACCATAAGCACCATGGAGGCAAAGACTCTTATCAGTCTTATTCTCTTATCTACAGCACCAGCACAATACCTGGCACATAACAGGTGAACACTATATATGAGTTGAATGAATTAATTTAATCATTGGGTAATAATCCCTAACCTAAAGACAGAGTGGAACTAGGGCTGAACCTATGCTGTCCCCAGGGAATTATGGAGGCAACTCTGGACACAAAGGATGTTAGATCACCTTGCCATTTGGAGACATTTTGCTTTATCTGACCATAGCAAAGCCAAGAGTCCTGATACATCTAAAAAATACAGGGATATTTGCTCAATCCATATTTACTGAAAACCTTCTATGTGCAAGGCATTGTACATGCTAGATAAACTTACTATCCCCAATAAACCTAAATTCTAGTGGAAGACAAGTATCCATAAAATCATAATTCAAAGAAGAATAAGAAAAATTCCTTAAGGTGTACAAAATATTATGAAAAGCTATATGAAGGTGAGAATACAATTGGAATGGTGGAGTGAGAGTCTCTATAAATCTATTCCTCCATAAAAGCAATTAAAATGCTGGCAAAAAAAAGTGAAAATTGGTTTTTTCAGAACTCTGAAAATTAACCAAAAGTATACAAAAATCTTAGGCATATTTATTCAACAAACACTGCAGAACCTAAGGAGAATAGGATTTGAGACTTTTCAACTTGGCCTATTCCCATTTCCTTCTTCTCAGCTCTGTAGTAGACTTGGAAACAAAACTTGCAAACATGGAAACTGTGGAAACCAGAAGCCTAGCAATGAGAAGAAGGGGCAGACTGGGGCTGGAGCTCCTCAAAAAGTTCCATACCAAAAGCATTTTTATTATCTGACCTGCTTGCAGCTTCACTGAAAAAGCAATGAAAAGGGGAAATTTAAAGTTAAAAGCACAATATTGTTTACATTAGCACCCATGAAAATGAAATACTTAGGTATAAATCTAAACAAATACATACAAGATCTATATGAGAAAAACTATAAATTTTGATGACAAAAATCAGAAGAATTATATAAGTGGAAAGATATACCATGTTCACGGATAGGAGGACTCAATATTGTCAAGATGCCAGTTCTTCCCAACTTGATCTATAGACTCAATGCAATTCCAGTCAAGATCCCAGCAAGTTATTTTATGGATACTGAGAAAGTGATTCCAAAGTCTATTTGGAAAGGCAAAGACCCAGAATAGCCAACACAACATTGAGGGAAAAAATAAAATCAAAGACCTAATTCTGAAACTAATAAAATATCAATAATCAAAACAATGTAATATTGCATAAGAACAGAAAACAGATCAATGGAATGAAACAGAGATCCCAGGAATACACCAACATAAACAATATTACTGCTCTTTGACAAAGAAGCAAAGGCAATACGATGGAACAAAGATAGTCTTTTAACTCAATGGTGCTGCTTAACACCTGCATATCCATATGAAAACAAATGAAACCATACACAGACTTTGCATCTCTTAAGAAAACGAATTCAAAATATATAACAGACCTCCTAAATATAATATAGGAGAAAACCTAGACCTTGTGTTTGGTGATTACTTTTTAGATACAACTGCAAAGTACAAACAATAAAAAAAGAAGTGATATACTGGACTTCATTAAAATTAAAATTTTCTGGAACGTCTGCGGGTAGCACATGTTGTGGAGAGGTGGGCTGGGTAAAGCAGAACAATTGGAAGTGCCAGCCAGGGCAGTGGTGGCATCAGAGACCCAGCCTCAAGGCTCAGCCCCTGCATCCTTGCTGAACCCAACTGCGGAGACCGCCCCTGGCTGGCATGAGCTGGGCACTTTGGCCCAGTCTGCCACTGCCACAATGCCTTCTTGAAATCATGAATCCTGTTTATAGCCCTGGTTTTGTTGGGGTTCCCCTCTGCAAATGCCAAAGAAATTGGTTATTCAGCTGGTTTCCCTGTGGGCTATGCAGCCATAGGTCCTGCCTATTCCACCAACATGTACCCTGGAGCAAATCCTACCTTCCAAAAAGGTTACAATCCTGTCACACCTTACACAGTATCCTGTCCCCCCACCAATGGGGCAGTGCCACCATACTCCTCTTCCCCTACCAAAATGCCTACCCCCAAGAGAGCCCCTATGCACACACAGCCCCAGTAGGCAGTGCCCCCTCACATCATCCACCACACCACAGTTGTGCAGCCCAACTGCATGCTGGTGGCGATTTACCCCGATCCCATCCCTCTACTTAGAGGCAATGGTGTCACCATGGGTATGGTGGCTGGGACCACTGTGGCCATGTCAGCAGGTACCCTCCTGACCTCCCACACCTCAACTCCTGTTGTCCCCATGCACTGTGCCCACGTATCTGGCCCCAGGGGCCCCACTTATAGCTAGGTTCCCCCTCAGTGGTGATCACCCAACAAATGTCTGAGGATAGAGCTGTGCAGTCACATCATGGAGGTTCCACAGCTGTGCTGCAGGCCTGGTGCCTCAAACCCAGACTTTCTTCTTAATGCTCTTGACACTTAGCTAAACACTACTATGGCCCAGCCCAGCAGGTCCCAGTGCCATCAGTCTCCAACTGACTCTGTAGGTTGATCTTAAAGCAAATCCTGTTTTGTGGGCTGCCTGGCAATTTTTTAGCTAACTGTAATGATAAAAAAGGGAGAATTAATCTAAAAAATTTTTTAAAGTTCTGCTCTGTGAAAGATATGTTAAGAGCATAAGAAGGTAAGCCATAAACCGAGAGAAAATATTTGCAAAAAGCATATCTGATAAAGGACTGTTATCCAAAATATACAAAAACACTCTTAAAACTCAACAATAAGACATACACACACACACACACACACACAACCTGATTAAAAATGGGTGAGAGATTAGAAGGAAGATGGCAGCGTAGGAGGACGCTGGGTTCACCATGCGTCCTGCTGATCACTTAGATTCCACCTACACCTGCCTAAATAACCCAGAAAACTGCCAGAAAACTAGCAGAACGGAGTCTCGGGAGCCAAGCACAGACGAGAGGCCCACAGAAGAGGGTAGGAAGGGCGGAGAGGCAGTGCGCACTACACGTACTGGCGGGAGGGAGCCGGGGTGGAGGGGCGGCCCGCCGACCAAGCAGAGCCCCCGAGTCTGGCTTGCAAAAGTGGAGGGGCCAGACGGAGTGTGTTCCGACAGCAAGCGGAACTTAGCATCTGGGAGGTCATAAGTTAACAGCTCTGCTTGGAGAGCGGGAGGGCTGGAGGACAATGGGAAGGAGAGTTGTTGAGCCCCAGACGACAGAGCGCAGCTTGGCGAGAAACAAAGATGCTCACCAGCGCCATCTCCCTCGCCCATCCCCCAGCCAAAATCCCATAGGGAACCAGTTCTTGCCAGGGAATTTGCTTGCTCCGCGAAAACACCCAACGCTGTGCTTCTGTGGAGCCACCTCTCCAGTGGGTCTGACTCCCTCCCGCTGCCACAGGGCCCCTCCTGAAGTGGATCACCTAAGGAGAAGCGAGCTAAGCCTGCCCCTCCTGCCCCCGTGCACCTTGCCTACCCACCCCAGCTAATACGCCAGATCCCCAGCACAACAAGCCTGG